TGGGATAATACCTCAGGGTATTCTATGATTCTATTACTTCCTTTGGGGACTGAACAGTGCCATGGGGAAATACACAGCTTCTTGCCAAACCCAACCTGCAGTGCTCTCCGGACAAGGGACTGGAACGGCAGGATCCCACAAAGCAGTGATAGGATCCAGAAGCAGAACAGTACCACTGAGTCTCTGCACAAGCAGAAGGACCGCGCATAGTGGATCAGAAGCACCAGGACCTGGAAGAAAAACCATCACTGAGGATCAGGCAAGGCAGCAGGACCAGCTCTGCCCTTCAAACACGCCTTTGGGGTACATGTACCCAGGCACTGGCACACGTGGTCTCTGCCAGTCCTACAGAAGCTTCAGAGTTCATCACACAGGGCAAAGGTTTATTTCAGGGAGATATTGTATCAAAACGCTCATAGGAAAAACAAGGTCTGAAGGCACCCTGGCATTATGCTTCAGCTGTTCTCACCCCAGGTTCTTGGCCATGCTATAAAGAGCAGGCATAAAGCAATGCCCTGGCTCCTGAACATCACTCCAAATCTGACATTACGTAGGTCAGAGACCGATGGCTAACAGTATCTCCTAAACTTTGCACATGAATCCAACTGATAAAATAGTAATCATTAGCAAATTGTTATGTTTGCTTGTAAGTGTAGCTCCTAAGTTTTATGGCTTTATTAAGACTGTTAGATTGGCCAATAACTTCTACAAAACATCTGCTACTCCTGTGCACGTGTTCCCCTGCGCACGCAACTCCTGTGCCCTCAGTTTCCTAGAGGACCAATCTCACATATCTTCATTCACAAATCCAATCTCTAATCACAGATCTCCCCTGCCTCAGAGTTCTATGGCACTTCTCAACTCTTCTTTCCCACAGAATTCCCACAGATACTCAGAGCTGCCCCATCCCCATCTCCCAGGTTGCTCTCTTGCAGACGCAGCCTCCCTCCATCCCTGTGCTGTGGAAGTTTTCTGCAGCCCAGCCCTGCCATCCCATGCCATCTCTTTGGTGACACTCAGCATGTTGTCCCGTTGACCCTTACCCAGGTGACGATGTATAGGCTGGGGTTGGTGTACCGGACAGCTGGCAGGGAGTACTGCCCTGTGCCCTCTGTAATTGCCATGACCAACTCTGCCACAGCTGTCATCAATAGCAACGTAACCAGCATCTGTGTGGAGAGGAGGGCAGTTGTGAGGAGAGACCCAGCCCACCATGTGCACTGGAAACCAGTGGGAGACAACGCAACTGGATATAAAAGCACTAAGCCCTATAGATCACTGCACCCTTTCCAACCCAAAGCTGGTGCAAAGAGCTTTTTGTGCCCTTTCATAGGAGCACTGCCACCATATTAACCTTGGAATACACAAGCACATAATATCAGAGGCTGCAATGCACACCTAAGACCTCCCTCCCAGAACACCCCAGCTCTGTGGTGCCCTCTGTCCCAGCTACGCGTCATCATGGGCTTCCTTCTGGCTTTTCCATCACAGTGCTTCTTCTCTTCTATGCTTCTCATCTGTTCATTCTTCACCCAACTCCAGCTTAGCAGCTTTCTACTCACCACCGCTCAACCCAGGCTGTTCCCGCCACCCTCTTTGCCCCCTCAGCCCCACTCTACCTGTTTGATCTTGTAGAGTTTGGTCAGAGGTGATTTCTTGGATTTAGATTTGCACAAGGGAAGGAGCTGCCATGGTGCCAAAACCCAGAGGAAGCCAAGGGGGATCCAGACCAGCACTGTCTGCTGGAAGCACACTGGCAGGTCAGCATCTGAGCGAGCGAGGAAGGAGTCGTTCTGGGGACAAGAACAGACAGTGAGGTCATAGATCCATAGAATCATAGAATATCCTGAGTTGGAAGGGATCTGTAAGAATCATTGAGTCCAACCGTTGGCTCCACAAAGGGCCACCCAACAATCAGACCCTATGTCTGAGAGCACTGTCCAGATATGTCCTGAATCCTGGCAGCCTGCAGCTGTGCCCACTGCCCTCTGGTGAAGAACCACTTCCTAGCACCCAACCTGAATCTCCCCTGAAATTACTCAGGATCGCTCAGCCCTCGCCTGGCTGGTAGCACTAGCACTCTGATAGCTCCTATCCCTCCTGTTTCCACCCCACTCAGCACCCACCATCCTGACTTACTGCCCACCAACCACCCTACCCCAACAGAACCAACACAGCCTCTCACCCAGAAGACGGAGCCGCAGAACTCCTCCAAGGCTGCTGGCATGGCTGGGGTGGGCAGAGCCAGCAGCTCCTTCTCTCGCTCTGCTCAGCTGTGAGAGTCCCCGGTAGATGCTTGGAATAAAAGTCCCTACACACCCTTGGCCGGTGTTGGGATCAAATCATGATGGCATACAGTTAATTGTTAACTTGTTGTTGTGCAACTCTGAAAGCAAACCAGTGACCAAAGGGGCCTTGGAAAACCACGAGTTCCAAGGAAGGGAAGAGAGGGAGGCTTAGAGAAGAGATGGAAGGGAAACTGCTGTCACAGACTCACTTCACCATGCGGCCGTTGCTTGAAAATCACAGCCTTCATCAGTGTATACTGAGATGATAGGTGTATGGTCCCACAAAAGACAATCTGTGTTGGTGCAGTACATCTTCCCTCTGCTGGGACCACTCCAGCAACCCCCAGTACCCATGTGACAGCCAGAGAGCCACACCTGGAGGGAGACTGACCCTAAACCATCATCCTGCTACTTTGAGAGGCAGGGGCTGGAAGGGATGGGTCTATCCTAAAACAGAATTTGCTTTGTCACACAGGATTTTGAGGAGCATTAGGTAAAAGGGGAGGGTGCACAGACGAGAAGAATTCTGCTGTTTCATTGTTCAGTGTTTGTAGCTCAAGAGTCAAGGGTGATACAGTGACTAATTGCTCAGGAACAAGCCCCTTGCCATCAATCGCAGAGGAAGGTCCAACGTCTAACCTGCTGGTTAATTATTATTGCCTTGTCTGATTAAATCCTCTTCTTTTTTTGGTAAACAAAGCTGTCCCCAGTGCCAGGTCCTCCAGCCAGTACCGATACACTGCTGAGGAGAGCAGCAATCTGATGTATTAGACAGAAGATCACTGAATGGAGCAGCCACTCCCTCAGGTTCTTCTCAGTCCAGAGTGCTGATGTAATTCATGAACTATGGGCCGTTACAAACACGTTCCTGTCCTCACCTTGTGGTTCACTACATGGTCTTTCTCATCTCTCTACCCCACAGCCCTGCCTTCTGAGCTGAACAAACCCTCATACGTATTTTACCTAGGCTGCACCTAAATCCTACCTTTCTTTTTTCCAGCTTATTTTTGTACAGTAGCTGAGATCCAGTCTTTCCAATTTATCTTCACAAACATGATCCTTAAAGGTGCCCTTGTCTCTACCAAGTTCTACTCTGCCCATTGGCCTTGCTTATAGGGCTTGCCCCAGTAACAGCTTCATATTAAATACTCCATTCCCTCGCTTGCCTTGCTTTTCAATGCATATCAGAGCCCATCCTCTCCCAGTCTTTGGTCTCTCGTTCAGAGCTGAACAGCTTTCCTCAGCCAAGAGTGTTTAAAACAAGCATATCCACTCTTCCTTTACCCTCATGCTCATCCCCCTGAAAACCTGTAAAGTCACCTTAGTATCCTTTAGCTTCTTCCATTACAATATCCAGAAAATATTTGCAGGGACCAAGCTAACTGAAGTGCCCTTCATGCCCCCATAGGGTCTGCTCCAGGACAAAGACTTCTCCAAGACAATGTACACTTTGATCCAGACCTCCTAATCTCTGAGAAGTTTATTTCTTTGCTTTCTTATGGTGTAACACCCTTTGAGTTCAGAAACCTTTTAAAACAAATAAAACTTAACACAAAAGAACCAAACTACATATACGATGGCGGAAGGCTGTGTCAGCATAATACATTAATTGAGTTACAGATATCAGCATGACTCAAGAAATCTTACAACATAAACCACATACTCTTAAACCCAATTAACTGTAAGTGAAATCGCTTCTACCAAGTTTGAATCCTTCCTACTAAGTGCACATCAGCCAGCACTGACCCCACGCTATGCAGCTATTTTCCCAGCTCATATGTTGAGAATTGCCATCTACGTTCCCAAGATGTTTTGAGAGACACTGATAGCTCTGATGGAGCCATGTGAAAAAGGAGATACACTCTCCAACATGAAGCTCTGAAGTTATACTCTTTAGCTATAGGTTTTCAACTATCTGATTCTGTTAAGGTAAAACCAAAAGAAGCCTAAGCTCTGATTCTGACTAGTCAGCAATAAACCCACAGGCACTTTTTCCCCCTCACACAGTCTGAAGAATAAGGAGATGCTTGTGAAGACATGTTAGGAAAAGGACCTGGAAACTCCCTGAGAAAAAGTACCTTCGCTTCCCAAGGAATCTCACCATATGCCCTACCCTCCCCTTAACCTCTCTCATCTGTAGCCCAGTTGGCTCACAGCTAGCTCACCCCATCAGTCAGGTAGTAGAAGCTTCGTGCCATATAGGCTCATCACCTCTACATATCAACAGCTTTGATGTGCTTCTCTTTAATTGAGAGATGCTGGGTTTCTAATCCTGAGCTATCTTACTGGCTGACACGAGTAGACCTTGTCTTCCAGCTGTGGAAGTTTTCCTTCCTGGCATTTTGGATGTGATCGTTTTCTCTTTTGGTGCAGCACAAGGATGATTAATTCAATGTCCCCTCATCTGACTCTTACCTCTTCTGTTGCTCTCACACTTGGCCCTGCTGAGACACAACTAGAGTTTGAGTTATGTTCTTAACTAAGTGCTTATTTGCTATTACTTTGTTCCCAGGAAATGTTTCTATCTCCTGTACACATTGCCTCATCTTACACAGATGAGCTAATGTGGACTTTTCCATTTGCAGTATGTATCTAGAACTGATGCCAAAGCATGCTGTACCAAACCATGCAAAATGCAGCATACAGTACCATCTGTAAAATAAATTCAAAACAAGCAACAACAACAAAAAAAAAACAACAGTATAAACAGAGTAAGAGGGGAGCAGCTGCAGCATTTATTTGATGATCACATGCAGTGCTACACAATTTATTCTCCCATACTTGCTCAGCTCCCTTCCTCTCTAAATACTGCTGAGCAGCTTGTTGCCATCACATCCAAGAATGAGTCCTTTTATTTAAAATGGCCAACGTAAGTTTCCAGGCCAGGGACTGGTCACTCAGGGGAAACCAAGGGAAGAAACATCAGGCTTTGTCACCTAATTTGCATCCTCCACAGCCTGAGGACGGAAGCAGTACACATCTGTCCACGTGGCAGGAAAAACTCTGGAGTCTTGGTGCTCTTGTTCCAGCACAGTGCTTTCCACTACAGAATGTTCTTTGCAATGGCATTCAGGGTCCTCACTTTAGCCACATCCGCCACCTTAACAGAGTACTCAGGGGCAGAGAACGACGCTCCCATGGCAACATTTGGATTTCTGTACAGAAAATGACTGGTTACTTTCTGCAGGTGACACAGAAGGGTAAAAGACATTAATAAAAACCCACAATCTCCCCCACAGTGTTAGCAGCAGTCAGAATACCTGCTGGTGCCACCCAGACCAAAGATGAGGCAGAAACAGAACAAAGAATAGTACAGAGGACAGAAAAAAGCAGCATCTACAGAAATCCAGTGCAGACTTGTGGTCTTCATCACTGTTCATAGAGGCACATCTCACAGGATGTGCCACATCCAAAACCCACATTTATCAGTGCTAAAGGTCAAAGGTAACTACATCAGAACACGCCCTTCCAAGTGTCACTGGAGTGCACTCAGAAGCTCTAGGGCAACAGTAGCATAGGAAATGCCCCAAGGAGCTAGTTGTGCATGGAGCTTGTGCCCAGACAATGAGCACCACTGGATTCACACACTGCAGAACACAGAGCCAACTCACTTAGCCAACTAACACAATCCCAACCACAACAGTACAATTAGCACTCAGAAAGCTGTTTGAAATTTACACCTGTTCCACACACTTACATTTGTATTAATCCTGATTTCCCCCAGTACAATTTTGCTAAAAAATAGTAAGAAATACTCAGTTACCTGAACTTCATCCCTGAGTCCCGAGCTGAGCGAGCAGAGCAGTGAAACTCAGAAGCAGAAGAGCCTTCCAGAATCCTTTGCAGGTTGCGCTCTGTGATGCCACCCCCTGGTGGGAAGAAGCCTTGTTTATGTCACATGCAGCATAGAAAGGACTATCACATACCAAACATCATCCCTGAGATCTATCCCCTAAGGGACCAGCACCACCTACACAGAAGGGGAAAAAGCCCTTGGGATAAGAGACCCTGGCACTCGAAGAGATGGGAGATGACTTGATTCATGTCCTCCCGCAGATCTACAGGTGTCCCCCAGATTTTCCAGTAAGCAGCAGCTGCAGTGCTCTGCAGCCTTTACTCAGACCAGGGCAGGAACACCTCCCTCCAAGGGATGTGGCTCAGAAAAACCAATCAGACAGTGCACCCCAGAGCAAGAGGAGCCAGATGCAACTAGACCTGTTATAGACAACAAGAAAAAACTTTACCTGGCACTACGACAATTCTGCCCTTTGCCTGAAAAAAAAATAACTTGTTAACAACACTGGCACAGCAGCAAGTCCTCACATGCCACTCTGGGGAACAAAGAAAACTTATGTATCACAGCCTTGAAATTCACAGTGGCTTATGATTCTTGCATTCTCACTCCAGGGATCTAGCCCAAAGGGACTTGGGAAATCAGATCAAGGACAACCCAGAGGTGGGGGGCAAGCACTTGTGGACAGCAGCTTCCCCATAGAAATGAGGGTTATCATTGATAATAAGAATCTGCCTCCAAGCAAAGCCCAGGAAGTGGCCACAGTAACCCAGAGGCATGTAGGAAGCACTTACCTGTTCTGCGAGTTTCTTAATCAAGGATAATCCTTCCAGTGCTGAGCTATCGCAGCCACTGGTCAATACCCGCTCAAACCCCAGAGAAATCAGAGTCTCCAGTGCCACCTGAGGGTCGTGCACCATGTCGAAGGCTGAGAGACCAATGGAACATTTCAGAAATAACTCACTGCTCAAGCTCTGTCCCCATTCCAGCCCAGGAGAGAGATGGGAAAGTCCCTTCTCTCAGCCACAGCTCCCAGCTATAATATCACCCTCACAGTAACAGCAAGGCTGCAGCACTCAGCTCTTTGGGCATTTCCACCCCATCAGGGCAGTAACACTGCCACCAAGCTTGGACCTCCTGAACCTAAGCTGTGCTACAGCTCTAGCACAGTACACACAGCTTTTCACCCTCCAAAGAAAAACCACCAGATTAAGCCCAGCTACTCCCCAGCTCCCCATCTCTGTCAGTGGGGCAGAAGCTGGTCCCTGCCAGGCCACCAAACTCTGTGACTCACCTCGGTGAAACGTGACTGGCAAGGGCCGGCAAACAGCTGTAATAAGAAGACATATGGTCAGCCTGGACTGCTACAGAGATTCCTTTGTGTCAGAACCAAAAAAGCACATGAGATTTTCTTCACTACCTACAATTTTTGTACTAGATTAGCCCACTGCAAATTTTACCAGAAGTGCTCAACGCTGGCAGTTCACAAGCCAATTTACTTTCTACAAGAAGAAACGTAACTACCTTATATTATCTAACTACTGCAAACTAACTAATGAAAATACTGATTGCAGGGCTCCGCTGGATAGGAAGAGCAAGGACGCAAACAAGACCTGCAGACCATGGAACCCAATGCTGCGCATTCTCCGGTGTGAGACAGCGCAGCACGAAGCTGCCATCCCTGGTGACAGCAAAGAAACCACGCAGCGCTTAGAGAAACATTTACAAGCAGGGATTCTCTCACCCAGCAACGCCGTGCAGAGCTCCGTATCGATGCGACCATCCTCAGTGAGGGCCCCGAAGACCAGCCCATCCGCACCGTGCAGCTTGGCCAGGCGGATGTCGGCCTTCATCACCTCCACCTCTCGGTCCGAGTAGAGAAAATCTCCGCCGCGAGGCCGGATCATGACGAACACCGGGACCCGCACGCACTGCTTCACCACCTGCAGGAGCCCTGGGGGGAGAAACGGGACGAGGGGAGGAGATGGGCTTACAGAACGGCTGACGGCCCCCAGGGGGCGCGTCTCGAGAACTCAGCGAGAACGGAGGGGCGCGGGGCCGCGCGGCTCACCCATGCTCGGGGTGGTTCCTCCCTCCACCAGGCCCGCGCACAGCTCGATCCGGCCGGCACCTGCGGAGAGGCGGTCACACCCGGCCTCGGCCCTCACCCCGCTCCCACCAACCTCGAGCCTCGGGCCTCACCTCCTCGCTCCGCGTTGACGGCAGACTCCACCGAGTCCACGCACACCTCCATAAGGAAGCCATCGTCCATGCCTAGGAAGGAACCACGCGGTCGGCCCGGCTCGGCCCATGGCGGCCCCCGACCGCCTCGCGGCCTCCCGTCGAGTTTCCCGCCCGCTTCCGCCTCGGGCCCCGCCCCCCGCGCTCGGCATCCGGCCTCGCCCCCTCGCGGCCCGGAGCCCCGCGCCCTTCGTCACCGGCCCCGGGCCGCGAGGGGGCGAGGCCGACGCGCCGCGTCCGGGCCGAGCCCCGCCCCCTTCCGCCGCAGCCCCGCCCCCGTCCCGGTCCGGGGCTCCGCCCCCGTCTCTCACGCGGCTTCACCTGCGCTGGCGGCGCGCGGGGGTCGCTGCTGGCTCTGGGTCACGTGCCGCGGAATTGTCATGGTGACGCCCGGAGGTGGCCGGAAGCTCTCACCTCGCTTCCGCCACGCGGCCGCCACTTCCGGGCTCGCTCGGGATGCTGCGGGCGCTGTGCGGCGGAGGCGGGCGGTTCTTCCGTCCCGGCCTCTCGCTCGTTCCTCTCTGTCGGCCTCCGCGGCGCAGCCTCTCGCAGCGGCCGGCCCCCGCCGTCCCGCCCGCTGTCGGGCGATGGCTGCTCGCCTGCAGCGGCGCTGTGGCGGGTGCCGTAGTGCTGGGCGGCGTCACCAGGTGAGAGCGGGGGCCCGGCTGTACTGCTTTGTCCGTCTCCCTAAGCTCCCTGTTTCTGGCTCCCAGCTTAAGGGTCGTCTGCTGCACCCGGCGGCTCTCGTCTCGGTTCTGTGAGGTGAGCTGTGCTGCTTCTGTCTGCCTGCAGGCTGACGGAATCCGGCCTGTCTATGGTGGACTGGCACTTGGTGAAGGAGATGAAACCCCCCAGGACGCAGCAGGAGTGGGAAGCAGAGTTCCAGAAGTACCAACAGTTCCCAGAGTTCAAAATGTGAGCGCTCAGAGGTGGGGCGGTGGGCTGAGGGCACTGGTCCTGCAAACAGGCAGCGTGGGGATCTCACACAAATGGAAACGTTCCCTAACACTGAGTGAGGCATGCCGTGCGTCTGGTAGCGATTGCAGGCAGTCCCCCTCCTGTTCCTCATCCCTCACCGTGGGAAGCATGAAGCAGGACAGTAGCACTGCCTTAAACCACTCTTTGTTTTTACACCCCTCGCAGTCTGAATCATGACATGACTCTGACAGAGTTCAAGTTCATTTGGTACATGGAGTACTCACACCGTATGTGGGGCCGTGTGGTGGGCTTGGCCTACATCATTCCTGCTGCCTACTTCTGGAGGAAGGGCTGGCTCAGCCACCCCATGAAGGGCCGTGTGCTTGCACTCTGTGGGCTCGTGTGCTTCCAGGTGAGAGCTGTGCAGATGCAGGGAATAGCTGCAATGTGTTCTGTGTATCTCCTGATTGTTGAGAGACAAATTTGTGAAAGTTTGGGTGGGGTGCGACAGTGCTGGTAAGTGTTTGAGATAGAAGAAACAAATTGTTTTGACTTTAATGTTTCTCTGATTTGCTAAAATCAGAGATTGTTGCTGCCCTGTGTGTGCTGAGGCAAATGTGAAGGGCTGCCCCTGGCTCCTCTTACTGATGCATGGGGTGGGGGAGCTGGCTCTCACCCTTTCTTCTTGTTATGTCAGGGTCTACTGGGATGGTACATGGTGAAGAGTGGATTGGAAGAGAAGCCAGATTCCTATGATATTCCTCGGGTCAGCCAGTACCGCCTCGCAGCACACCTTGGCTCTGCACTGGTTCTTTATTCTGCCAGTCTGTGGACGGGGCTGTCTTTGCTGCTTCCACCACACCAGGTACAAAGTGGTGTGTCAGAAGTCAAGGCACAGCATAGTGTAAAGTGCAGAGGACTGGGGGTAAAGGAAATGTGTGGAGGATGATGGTTACTTCCATTTTATGCTATTTCTGACTGTGATCTTAATACCAATAGAAGTTTATAGAAACTTCTTATTTAGCTCCTTCTGAACTGTTCTATTCTGCAACAGTTATGAGATGCTGGATTTGACTTTGTTGTTCCACTGAACAGCAATTAGTCTCAAGAGTTCATGCATACTCAGGCAGGAGCCTGCCTGCCAGGTTCAATTATTTGTTCCACTAAGTTCCCAGTGGCCACTTCAGTTTCTGCACAGAGTTGGACTCAATTGTTTGTGAAATACTTGGCAAACCATTAGCCTGTATATGTAAAGAAAGCTTTTTTTACCTGTTGCAAACAGCACTGGATTTTTTTACTTCAGTTCCTTTTTTGTTTTACAGTTGCATGAGACACGTCAGCTGCTTCGGTTGAGGCACTTTGCTCATGGCACTACAGCTCTCATTTTTCTTACAGCTCTTTCAGGTAATGCTGTCCTGTCTTGCAGCTCATCTCTCTCTGCGTTGCTTTTCTTCTGGTCTGATGGGGAGTGTGAGAAGCCCCATCGCTATCTTTGTATGAACTTTCAGAGAGCTTACATTTAAGAACTTCTTTTACTGGCCTCTTTTGAGCAGGTGGAGATGTGCTGAACAGTACGCATGCTGTTGTGAGATCTTTGTATATGTTTGCAAAAGAAATTTGGGATCGAGCTGAGTTCTTGAGTCAGGCTGGATGTAAGAGCTGTGCAGCCTGGGGTGCCACCTGTACCCAGTTCAATAGTCTTGTTCTCTGCTCTGGAATTGCAGGTGCCTTTGTGGCAGGGCTGGATGCTGGTCTTGTGTACAATTCCTTCCCCAAAATGGGGGAACGCTGGATCCCAGATGATCTTCTCGCCTTCTCCCCAACCCTGAGAAATATCTTTGAGAATCCTACAACTGTACAGTTTGATCACAGGATCTTGGTAAGTGCTGTCTTCCTGCTATGTCTAAGCTTCCTTCTGGTTGCCTCCTACATCCAAACTGTCATCTTCAGGCTGTGGCTCTGTCAGTGTGAGTGATATACAGGGTGTCCAAGGTCCTGAGAGCTTTGTTACCAATTTGTTTCTGAAGAAAGAGGAAGGTTAGCACTCCTTTTTTTTTTTTTTTTTTTAATGTGGTTTTCTTCCTTAAGGATGTCTTCCTCCTGTCTGAGTTACAGACGTCATTTCTTTGTGTCTCATTTTCCACATGCTACAGATCAGGGTAGCCTTTGCAATGGAAATGTCTGAGGATGTTGCCTGAAATAAAACTTGGAAGGAGACACCACTCAACAGTAACATTTCCTCTAGAATTTAAGTTCCTTTATACCAGTAGTGCCCTGTGAAATAGATCTCAGCTAGTTAGAGAAAATTGGATATTAAACAGCACTGCTGACACGACTTTGGACCAAGCCATAGCTTGATAAGATTAAACAGAAAGGTAAAAGAGTCTTGGTAGGGGAATTGTGAGGTGATCTGTGCAATGAGATGATGCTGGTGAGCTAGAGCTGGGTAGTGAAAATAAGATCAGGATTCCAGCTGACAGCTTCCACCTTTCACTGCCAAGGTTCGCAGGTGGGAAGGGGGCAGAAATAATTCCTATCAAACAGAAGAAATAAGGAAAAACTATTGGGAAAGCAAGGCATTCATTCAGAAAATTGAACATAGCTTATTTTTTAGGGCTGTTAACTGGGTGGGGCATGGAATCTGCAGCACGTGATGGTGGCCATTAACATGTTTCTAAAGTTAAATAAGTTCAGTGAGCGATGTTTTATTGCATGGAAAGTGCAGTCAAAGATATCTGGCCAATTTCCTTTCAACTTCTCACGAAGGGTGGTTGTTTCTCTGTCCTATCTCTTCCTTTTTTAGGGAGTTGCCTCAGTCACAGCCGTCACAGCCCTGTACCTCTTCTCACGGAAGATCTCCCTCCCTCACAGGACCAGGATGGCAGTGACATCCTTACTGGCAGCGGCTTGGGTGCAGGTACTGTGCTTTTTTTTTTTTTCCTGTTCTGTTTTTTTCCTAGTCCTTCACAGCACATCCACAACACAAGAGCTGGAAGGCTGCCTCGACATGGAATCAGTGCATGATCTGCACACCCTGAGGCTGGAGCTGAGAGCTGGAGGACTGCAGCCCCACACGGAAGCGGGAGGCCTGTCCTTGGGCTTGCTCACAATCACAGAATGGACAGGGTTGGAAGGGACCTCAAGGATCATGAAACTCCAACCCCCCTGCCACATGCAGGGCCACCAACCTCCTCATTTAATGCTAGACCAGGCTGCCCAGGGCCCCATCCAATCTGGCCTTGAACACCTCCAGGGACGGGGCATCCACAACCTCTCTGGGCAGCCTGTTCCAGCACCTCACCACTCTCTCTGTAAAGAATTTGCCCCTGACGTCCAACCTAAATCTCATCTCCCTCACTTAAAACCATTTCCCCTCGTCCTGCTGTCATCTACCCTTTCAAAGAGTTGATTCCCCTCCCCTCTGTAGGCTCCCCTTAGGTACTGAAAGGCTGCAATGAGGTCACCCCGCAGCCTTCTTTTCTCCAGGCTGAACGAGCCCAGCTCCCTCAGCCTGTCTTCATAGGGGAGGTGCTGCGATCCCCTGATCAGCTTCGTGGCCCTCACGCTTTAGGCTGCGTGCAGCCACAGCCGTGCTGACCCTCCTCCCTTCCCGCAGGTGTGCCTGGGCATCAGCACGTTGCTGCTCTACGTCCCCACGCCGCTGGCCGCCACGCACCAGTCGGGCTCCCTGGCGCTGCTCAGCGCGGCCCTGTGGCTCATGAGCGAGCTGCGGCGCGTGCCCAAGTGACCCGCGGGGCTCGGCTGCTCGACCTCCCGGTGGCGACGGCGCGCGGTGCGTTCCTGCTGTGTAACATAAAGGACTTTTACGGAGCTGCCGGTGTCTGCGTGCTTGCGGAGCGAGGTGAGGGGGTGGGCGGCCGGGCTCGGGCCGATGCCGCGCTGCGGCGCCCCCTGTCGGTGAGGCGGTCTAAGCGCCCCTTCACCAATGGCAGGCGGCAGGGCGGTCGGCGCGCCGCGCTCTCTACGCGGATTGGCCGCCGCCCGCGGCAGTGGGCGGGACTTCAGCCCGAGCGGTGGGTGCGGGTGAGCGGCGGCGGGAGCGGCCATGACGGCGCACAGCTTCGCGCTGCCCATCGTCCTCTTCTCGGCCTTCTGGGGCCTGGTGGGCATCGCCGCCCCCTGGTTCGTGCCCAAGGGGCCCAACCGCGGGTGAGTACGGCCGGCCGGGCCGGAGGGGAGGGAAGGGCCGCGGCGAAGCCTTCCCTCGTGACGGTGTCTCCGCCCGCAGGGTGATCATCACGATGCTGGTCACCACGGCCGTGTGCTGCTATCTCTTGTGAGTACCCGGCCCCGCGCGGCCTCCCGGGGCTGCTGACCGCTGCCGGCCTCCAGCCGCGCCTCGGGGCGGGCGTCGGGCCCCGCTAGGCCTTTCCCGTGCCGCCGGGGCTCACGCTCGCGTCCTTTGCAGCTGGCTCATCGCTATCCTGGCCCAGGCCAACCCCCTTTTCGGGCCGCAGCTGAAGAACGAGACCATCTGGTACGTGCGCTTCCTCTGGGAGTGACCCCGGCAGCAGCCGTAGAGACCCGCCGTCGCCGTGAGTGGGCAGAGCTGGGGGGGAGCTGCTTTGGCCCCGGCACATTGCGGCTGTGGAGCCCTGAGCCCAGCGTGGGGCTGCCGGTGCAGCTCTGTGCTAACGTCTCCCCCTTTCTCCTTCTTCCAGCTCTCGCTGTTCGAGCATCTCCCCTCCCATACCAGGCAGCTCCCAGAGGTGCTGGGCCAGGGGCTGGAGCCGCTGCCCCAGTGCACTTTAAGCACTGCGCCGGCTGGCTGGGCCCCTGCTGTTGGCAGGCAGTATCCCTGCTGCAACGTGGGCCCCGTGGCACCCTGCACGTGACCGGTCCCTGGGTGGTCCTTGCTAAGATAGGCTCTAGCTGTGGCTGGGAGAAGGGAAGGCTGAGCCTGTTGGAGGAGGCATACTGCCATGGATGTGAGGGAGGTGCTGGGGTTTTGGGCAGGGGTTCCTGGTCAGCAGTGTGCCCAGCCTGGGACTGTGTCATCTCCCACCTCTGCAGTGAGGGTGCTGCAGTAGTATGTAGGTACCACCATTCCTCTCGTGTCTACATTCCAAGAACAAATTATTGTTTTAGGTCAGCCCCGTATTTATCAAATAATTTATTGGCATTATTTATTTATTTGTATTTGTCTGTGTTTGCCGAACTTGTGTTGTGGAAATAAATATTTTTTTCTAGTAAGTGATGCTGGAAGCAGAGTCACTTGCTGCTTGGAGGCTGAGGAATTCTGGGCTTCATGTTTTTTTTTTCTTTTCCCACCTTTACTTCTAACCCTGTTCCTTCAGTGAGAATAAGACAGATCAACAGCTGTTATAGAAAAGGTTGGCAGCATGTGTGCAGGGCTTTACCTTGGGGTAAAGGCTTTACCTTGGACGCCACCTGTACAGCCCTTTGGAGTCAGGGTCACAGATAAGCAGCAGCATGTCCCACAGGGAGGCTGATAGGCAGCTGTGCCCTGAGCTGCTCTGGGCCATCTCCATGGCTGTGCAGCAGCTGTAGCAGCTTGGAGGCCTGTTGCCCAGGCCCTGTCTTCTGCCCTGTTCTAGCAGTTCCTTAAAGCTGGGGTGTGAATAAGGTTTAAAAAACAAAGAACAAATAGAGCCTTGTAGGGATAGCTCAACTGTCTTTTCTTGGGAAGAAAGAGGCAGGCAGCAAGGTGTTGGATCCTTAGCTCCCCAGTTCAGGAGGGGTCAGTTTCCCTTGCTACCACTGGCTCAATTACTGAACTCAGTTGTGCAGAAAGCAGCATCTGGCAAGAAAGCAGCACTGCTGCTGCATACCACTAGCAAGACCTGGCAGCACGGAGCACTACTAAGCAGAGGGGTATGGGCAGCAGGCAGGCTCCCAGCCCTGAGCTGCTGCTGCTGCTGCTGCTGGATTGGTGCTCACTAGAAAACAAGACAACTGCTGATTGGCTCAAAGGTTTCTTTTATTGCTTCAGGAATGGTAACAGATAATTTCAAGTATAAAGTGAAGAACTTGATTAGGGGAATCCAGGCCTAGAAGATGAAGGCCATGCATGGAAGGATACATAGCTAGAGAGGTAGCTTCCCTGTAGGCAGGCCCAGCCTGAACTAAAGGGGAAAGAACTGCTGGTCCTTGCTCTTAGTGCTGGATTTGCTTGTGGGATGCCACAGAGGGAGCACACTTAGGAGGGAACAACTGAAAGGAAACGTAGCCTTACAAAATGTTCCCTGCACCCTCAGTGCTGCCTCTTAGGCATGGCCTGGGAGTATCTGAGAGGAGCTCATGGCACACAGCAGGACCCTTCACTGTGATAGGGAATGTTCTGAGTGGGGTCAGGCCTGGCAGAACAGCTCAGTGGAGCCTGCTCCTCGCCTGATTCCTGGAACCTGTGTCAGACTGTGGAAAGAACACACCAGGCACTGATAAGCTACAGCAGTTTGCCAGCCTGCTCTTTAAACTGGTGGCTAAGCTGTAGGATGGTCTGGGGCTTCAGGCCACAGCCCTGAGCTGGCTGCCTCAGTAATGTCTTCTGCTCTGAGCGCCCAGCAAGGGCTGTGGTGCGAGTGCTGCCAGTAAAGAGTTTTTCTTTACCCTGCTCAGCAAGGCAAAAGTCAGAGGCCAAGAAACAAAGATTAGGACTGAGGTGTGGCAGAGAGGCTGGCTCCAATGTCCACAACTGCCTCAGCCATGTGGTCTGTGGTTCTGACGTGCAGATAACGGAGTACAGAGTTTAGATGGTCCTCAGGAAAGAGTCCAAGTTCTTGGAGATCTGGCTGGCATTTGGTCCTGGTTCTGCTGGTGCAACTGGTCAGTGACTGTCCCACTGATATCATGGCAAGTCCCCCTGGCCTGGGGGCAGCAGCACCACCTTGTCCAGCCAGAGCAGGTCCAGCTGCCGGCGGTGGATGCGGCGCAGCCGCAAGAGGTAGAGGACTATGGCCAGCCCTACAACCAGGATGCAGGCAAAGAAGAGATAGTGGTTGTAGACAAAAGAAAGTCGCAACCAGGAGGTGTGTGCTTGCCGGCTGCTCTCTTGCCGGAGATCCCTGTGGAGAGGAGAGGTAGAACCAGGCATGATTGGTACATGTACCACAGGCTGAGCTCTATGCAGTAACTCCTGCATATCCCCCTTCTAAGCAGGACCCTCTTGTCCCCTTCCAGCTAGGCTACAAGTCCTGGAGCTAATGCTCCTTCCTGTGTTACCTGAGTGGCAGAAAGCGTGTCTTGTAGAGGATGGCTCCCAGCGTCCACTGCACCTCACGGTCATACACCAGCTGGGCTGTGTGCAGGCTGGGGTAGTCCAGGGGGAAGTGGAAGCCCTGGTGAAGGACTTGGTACATCCAGGCAGACTTGAAGCACTGATACCTGCAGGCAGCACACAGGAACATCAGTTGGGTGCTACTGCAGAGTCTGACCCCAAGACAGAGCCTACCACAGCCACTCATATTAGTGAGCCCCCAGGAGGCATATCCCTGGTCCCTTACTTGAGCCGGTGCTCATCTGCATGTGCTGAGTACAGGCCACTCTGGAAGCGCTGGGTCAGCACTTCCCAGCTCTGGCTGCAATATTCCTGGGGAAAGAAGTTTCAGTTCAAAGCAAAGGAATGACCCCAGATCCCTCCCAGCGTGGTGAGACTCTGTGGTCTAGAACAGTGCTCACCTGGGCAGCAGAGATGAAGGCACGGGCACTATAGCGGCCCCCTAGGCGCAGCACATCCTCAGTGCAGTAGTAAAACTCAGAGAAGCCATAAAACTCACTGTTGCTGAAGTCGATGGGTGCTTTGTAGGCCCCAATCAGAGAGTCCTGGCTGCTGTTGGACCCTGCCAGGAGTGGGTGCAGCAGCAGAGCACAGGCCTGCCAGTCCCCTCGCCCACGCACATACAGTGTTTGGCTGCCCCTTGTCACCGTGTCCTCCAGCCCCATGGGCAAGCAGGGGTCCAGGAAGGGAGTCTCAGGGCTCAGCCCTGTCCGCTGGCTACGCAAGCTAGAAAGCAAGTCAGAAAAGAAAGGTCACTGCACATGGGGTACTGTAGCACCCACAAAAGCATTATCTAGTGCTCCTCCACAGATAATACCCTTGCAAGGCCCTGTCCCCTTGTACACTCGTGGTCCTGAGAGTCACCTAACCAACTCCTGCTGAAGCTGAGCTCTCCAGATCTATAGTCACAAGCCCTGAGCATCTGATGGGTGCCATGGGGTACAGTCTGTTCCCACCAACCTGAGGGGATATGCACCCCCATGGAGACCCTAGAGCATGTGGAGGCAGGATCTTCTCCCATCATGGGAGTACCTGGGCTCTGAATCTCTGCAAGTCTGGGAACAGCTTCAGGAAATAAGGCAGGAGACAAGTGGAGGTGAGAATGCAGTGGAAAGATGTGCTGAATGAGCCAGTGCTGAAGAAGGAGGGAAAGCCAGAGCAGGGAAAACCAGAAGCTGCTGTAGAGGAGTCCCTGTAGTGCTGGGAGGGGAAAGGCAACAAGCAGTGGCACTGATAACTCCTGCAGGGCTCTGACAAGAGCAATGCTGTTGTGCCACGTGCCAGCCCAAGCACCTGCTTGCACCCAGCTGCTGCCAGCGTGGCTGTAGGAACTGTTATCAACCACAGGTGGCTCTTGGGGAAAATCCAATGGGGAGAGGGTGGCACAAAGGAGCGAGCGCTGTTGTGCAATGCCAGGGTAGCCCCAGGCAGGGCAGAGATACCGGTTGTGCACATAGGTCTGGTTCAGCACAAGTTCTTCATAGCGCTGCCGAGCAAAGTTGCCTCCGAAGCCCAGGAAGGTGTTGACGTAGACGCGGTACACGTGGCCGGTGTGCTGCACGTCACAGCCCAGGTTGAACTCTGCCAGTAGGCTCTTGGCAGTCTCCTCCTGGGTACAGGAGACTACCATCAGTGGTGAACGTTGGGCAGCTCTCAGTGCCAGCCACTTGCCCAACACAAACCTGCTGCGGGGATGAAAAGGCTCCGGAGCCAGGCACCTCATAGGCGATTTGCAGAGAGGCCCCCCCCATGTCTAGGATCCCAACTGTTCGTCTCCGTACCAAGGACTCCACCTGGTCTCCCAGCGCTACGGTGACAACTGCAGCCTCCTCTGCAACCCGCAGCAGTGTGTCAGCGAAGGGCAGGGGGGCATTCCTTCACTGGTACCTCCCAACGCCCCTCGCATGTAGGAACCGAGAGCCAAAGGGTTGCATGCTGCCTTCCCCAGAGCTGCTGTGCAAGCAGCTGGACTCACCATCCTCATGATCAAACCGTCCCAGCACAAAGTTGATGCCAATCCAAGCGTAGACACCTGGGCATGACAGAAAGAGTCTGCCTTAAGGCAAAGCACAAATGAAACTACATAGGCTCCACGCAATGCTGGCAGTCCATGTGCTCCCTGCTAGGACACGAGGACAGGGCAGTTTCCCACCTTCCTGCTTCCCTGAAATGACTTCAGCATGCGATTTGGAGAAGAGGAAATCAAACTCCAGGGGCACGTTTTTCACCAGGTTCTCCAAGATGGCAGCTTGCAGCCTGAGGGGCACAGTGACCTCTGGGAGATGCTGCTTGTCAGGACAAGAGCAGCAGAGAGCAGAATCTCACAGCTTTGCCAAATCCCCCCTAACCACAACTCCGTGCTCACCTCTCGGGCAGCAGCCGCATGCCGGCCGTGCACAGGACATACAGCGGCGTCTCCTTGTGCTTCCCCGCTGGCACATGTGCGGCCGCGAAGCGCAGCAGGGGCCGCAGGTAGGCCGTGGCTCGCTCCGGGGCCGCCGCAGCCACCGAGATGCCTGTATGGATGGTTGTCACCAACCGGCCCGGTGCTGCCGCCCATTAGCGGGGCTCAGTGCCACACTCACCGGGTTTAACCTTCATGACCACGGGGCGGCTGCTGCGGTCTCGCATCTGCCGGATGTCCAGCAGGTCGTGCGGGTGCCCGTTGTGCGGCGGCCACACGTAGACGAACACCCGGGAGCCGCTGCTGCCGCAGTCCACTACCACCCCGTAGCTCAGCGACACGTCCTCCGTGTCGGTGGCCGCCAGCTCCTCCATCCGCGCCAGGTACCTGCGCACGGGGATCGGGCCCGCTCAGCGCCGCCTGCACCGGGTCCGGGGTCCCCGCCGCCCCGTCCCGCTCACCTCTCGTCCCGCCGGGCGTCACGGTGCGGCGAGGCCCAGCGGCGGGGCCCGGCGGCCGCCAGCAACAGCAGCAGCCCCGCGGCCACAGCCAGCCCCAGCGCCGCCGGGCGATGCCGCAGGGCCGGGAAACCGCAGGACACGGCCGAGCGGCACGGCGGGCACGGGACGGCGATCCTGCGGGAACAAGGCACGGCTCAGAGATCGGACCGCACCGAGACCGCACCGGGACGGCCCCGCCGCTCTCACCTGGCCATGTGCATCCACCGCCCGCCCCCGCATCGCCCCGCGCCGCCGTCACCGGCACCCGCTGCCGGCACCCGCAGCCACGTCACCGAGCGCCCCTCCTCCCACCCGCCAATAGCGGGCCGCGGCCTCTCGCAGCGCTCCGCCCCCCAAGCCGCCGCCTCGTCCAATCGGCGTCCCCGCAAGGTTTGGCCTCGCCCATGCAGCCCAGCAGCCAATCGGCGCCCCCCGGCGGCTGAAAGCCGCACCTGGCTGAGCCCCGTCTTCCGCGGCCGAGGGGCGCCGCGTGACGTCACCCATCACTTCCTCCCTCCCGTCACCACCCGCGCCGAGCCAATCGCAGCCTTCCAAATAAACAGCACGCGCCGAGGCCTAGAGTGACGGGCGAAGCAGCCAATGGCGTCGCTCCGACCCCGCTCGGAGGGGAACCAGCCGTGAGACCTACGACGGACCAAAGGTCGCGGGCTCGCCGCCCAATGGTCTGCGCGGAGGGGCGGGACGAAAAGTTGAGGAACCCAATGCGCTGCGCGAAACCGCGGGGCGGTGAAGGGCGCAGGCCAATAGGCAGCGCGGAAGAGTGAGCGATCAACCAACGGCGGCCTTCGCCGCGACGGGACGGCGACCAATGAGCGCGGTGAGTGGGGGCGGGGACCGGTGGCTCAAGCCAATGGTAGCGCGGCGGAGGCGGGGCGCGGGAGAAGGCGACCAATGGGCGAGGAGGGGCGGGGCGGCGCGGCGCGGGGTCGGGGCGGCGGCGGCGGCGGCGGCGGCGGCTGCGGCGCCATGGAGCTG